GGACTTTCAGCTGAAGGTTACATTGATCCCAGTGGCCAATGTTTTAATCAATCATGCCTCCATGATGACGCTTCCATAAAAACAAAAAGACAGGGTTCAGAGAACTTCTGGATAGCCGAACACTTGAGGGTTCCTCCCTTCCTACATGCCTTGCCCTATGCATCTCTTCATCTGTATCCCTTGTCATATTCTTTATATTAATAATAAACTCGTGTTTCCCTGAGTTCTGTGAGCCACTCTAGCAAATTAATCAAACCCAAGGAAGGGATTGTGGGATCCCTGATTTTATAGCTGGTCAGTGAGAAGCACAGGAGAAACAACTTGGGGCTTGAGATTGTCATGAGAAGTAGGGGGCAGTCTTGGGGACTGACCCTTCAACCTGTGGGATCTGAAGCTATCCCCAGGTATATAATGGCAGAATTGAATTGAATTGAATTATTTTGAAGGAGAGCTTCACTGAAAGAAAAAAAAGAGAGAGAATTGAATTGAATTAGAGGACACCCATTTGGTGTCTGCTGCAGAATTGCTTACTTGCTCGGTGTATAGGGAAAAACCTCCACACATTTTGTCACAGAAATCTTCTGTGTTGGTTGTTGTGGTGTGAGAGCAGAGGAAAAATAATTTTTTTCCACGCAGTGCCACATTTGATTATCCATTCGCTCATTGATTCCCTCAATCTTATTTTGAAAAATTATAAATTTCAGAAAAATTGAGAAAAAATTTTTTGTTGAGACAGGGTCTCTCTCTGTCACCCAGGCAGTGGCGTGACTGTAGCTCACTGTAACCTCAAATTCCTAAGCTCAAGTGATCTTTCTGCTTCAGCCTCCTTTGTAGCTGGGGTTACAGGTGTCTTGCCACCATGCTCAGCTCATTTTTTTTAACTTTTTGTAGAGAGAGGGTTTCACTATGTTGCCCAGACTGATCTCAAACTTCTGACCTCAAACAATCCTCCCACCTCAGCCTCTCAGAGTGCTGGGATTATAGTTGTGAGTCACCCCACCGAGTGATAAAATAATATCAGTGTAGGAATGTCTTTATATTCTTCACCTAGATTCATCAATTGTTAATATTTTGCAGTATTTGCTTCTTTGTCCCTCCCTATTTCAAAACTTTGTTACATGCTTAATTTTGCAAAGCTATTGAGGACAGAGATACGTACAACCGTTTTTGCTTTTGAAGACCTTTTATTCTAAGAGAATTCAGTTATCTGCCTAAAGCAAAACTTTTATAAATTA